TAATGATTAACTCAAGGTAATGATCCCCCTAAGAAAATAGCAATTAAATTTCATGGCTGTTAACAAGTACTGAAGGTAGTGACACTCCAATAGTAAAGCCCTGGCCAAATGGACCCGCAAGTACTGTAGAGGAAAGCTCAAAACTTGGGTCTACTTGCAATTTCGTTTGGCCAGGCCTTGGGTGCACTTGCGTTGACCTGCAATGACTTGCGCTCACTTTGGTCAAGATCAAATTTGCATGCAAGTCAATGCAAGTTTTCACAGTTGGGCTACGCACTGTCGTCAGCTACATTGTATCACATGTGATCTCTGATGGAAAACAAATATACATGTCTGACTTCACATGGCTTAAAGCAACCAATCAGCAAAAACCATTTGCCAGGCAAACAGTTGGAAGAGCATAAACAATGGTGTGACAACAGGCGAATTTTTTTTGTCTCACGCTTCACGCTTGTGGGCACATTTCGCTTTCTGCCCTGCTAATCCACCTGTTCTGCAGGCTACATGATCCTTAACGTATGTACTTTGTCAAATATTTTTGCAAAAGGGGAATTCCTGAGAAACAATAAAAAGCAAGCCGAACCAACCCGCTCCAAACTTATTTACCAATTCTGACAGGGGTTACATATCGGTAGTGAAAGACTGATCCAAGTTTTCACTCACAATGCTTTCAGTACTGACAGCTGGACACAAAGCTTATGAGGGCTTAGTTACTCTTCTTTCACGTATTCATCAAACACCTTTTCCTGATTGCAGTTGCCTCTTGACCCGGGGGGGCACTGCCATATATGGGCTATATAGGTATGTGCCATTGTGAAGGGTATGGTTTTCAAGCAGTTTACTCTAGTATAGGGTATATAAATCAGAGCATTTGGGTCTAGAATAGGGTATCATTTTTCACAAAACTGACCAGTTGGTTGAAGATTTTATCTGGAGTAAGGAAACCAGGAATTGCCACTCAAAAATATAAAAAAGTCAAATCGGCAAGTTTAAATTTACGCAGATCAGCCTCAACAGTGTCCATAGATGGGGGGATTTGGGGAGTTTACTCTAGTATAGGATAACAAAATTCAGCTGAACTAGCTCTGGTATAGGTTAAGGGTTCCAGGGTCCAAGCGGCACATCCCCACCCAGAAATTCCCAAAGTACCCCCCCCCCGGGCTCGGGTCCCGATCGGGTTTCAAAGACAGAGTTAAGACAGTGTTTTCGCGCACGGCGTGCGAAATAAAGCTAGGGTAAAGCAAGGGTTTCAATGAGGGCGCAGAAGAGAATTCTTTTCTGCGCCCTGGGGCCCGTTTCTCGAAGGTCCCGAAAAGTTTTCCCATCCGGAAAGCCGTAGCAAGATCTCAAACCTTTTGACTGCAGAGCAGTTTTATTCATATGTTCTTAATACAGAGGTTCTCTTCATTCAAGAAGTTTTAGGCGTATACACCTCTCTGTCTTTAAATACCGATTAACTATTCGAGAAATGGCTTTTCGGGCCCGAAAAGATTCAGTGCGGGGCTTTCGAGAAACGGGCCCCAGTGGTTTGAATAGAGCTGACGAGCCGAACTGATGCGTGTCCCTCAATTTTATTTTAATTTCGTAGCTTTTAACTTTATGATAAAGGACTCTTCACCTTTGGCAGCGATACACTATTCTTGCACGACTTACACCCGGGGCTTACATTACTGGCGTATAGCGATTACCTAATCTAGTAATGGGCTAACCTTCTCAAACAGTAACTTATAGACGTGTTTGGGTTTTTCAAAAGATCCCAAGAAGTGGTCGTTGACAAGAAAGCTAGAAGACAAATAAACTGAACTCACAAGAATAACAACCAGGGCCGTGAGAGTGACCTTTGGTCACCTTATATTCGTGTGAAAATATGTAAAACGTTGAATAGCAAAATGCTAGAACATTCCCTAAAAAGACTTTAAGAGACATCTACGTTTAGGGGTCAGTAAACGATAAAAAGGTGTACGTGTATAAACATTCATGTATTTTTTTTCAGTCAGTACAATGAGAACGAATTCATGGAATAAAAGACTGCGCCACAAGGTTTATTTCATTTATTTCATTTTAAAACTATAAATAAGGCCCTCGAACGCTTTATATTCTACCAATTTTCTTTAAGTTCAAAAGAGCAATAATAAAGTAAAGAAAATTCCTTACTCTTTTTGTTTTAGTCAAAAACTACGTTTCAAAATTGGCAACTGTGAGTCGCTACGGTTACAAAGTCGATGTCCATGCACAAACTTATTCTTGTTTCTACTTTTAAATAATATACGTCGTTTGTAACAATACTATAATTATATTATTCAGTCAACCACTTTTATCAAAACATTTCTTAAAAATCTGGGAGCATTTCTCCTCTTGATATCGACGGTTTACTCTCGCTTTCTCTTTAATCATGGTCTATTAGTTATCAGTCTGTCCTCTGCTCGATCGGTTCACCACTTGCTTGGACAACTTGTCATTGGATACACGATGCGTGACGCCAATTGTACTTCTACTAACTTGCACAAAACCTCGCAGTAAACTTCCTGAAATGTCATGGAGGTGACAGAACTCTGTGGCCTCTTCTCTGTAAAGTTTGCTTTGAAGATCATCAATGAAGGGCTGGGAACAAATTGTCCTGAAGGAAAACTTCTTCAAACAAATCATCACATTTCAGAAGCCGTGTACTACCAATCAAGAGCTGAAACAAAAATTTAAAATATACATAACATTCAATATACAAAACGTTGATGGGGAAGTGATGAAGAGTAATGGCATCTTCCCAACCAGCACATCCATGATGAACACACAGATTCAGTTACGGAAAATTTAAAGTTGGTTTATATTATACACCTGGATAAAAACAGTAGTATTCGCGGTAAATAAGTTGAATGGATTTGTCTCTGAGCATACTGAAATGTTACCGCGAAAGAAAACCCAATTTTCAAGTTATGTTCTAAAGTAAAGCTGACTTTAAACAGCTTTCTAGGCTGGGCACACGTTCTGTAGATGCACGCTATAAACTAGCTTTGTAGAGACCGCCAATTCTCAGCTGATGTATTCAGGTTAATACTTTCAGGTCACAAGCTGACTTTATTCGGCTATCCTTCAACAGGTCACTTACGAGTTACCTTGTGCCTCTTTTTCGAAACGAGTCCTTGTGCAAAACCTTTCATATGAAAATGAATTTGATGTGCGTGAAAAAGAACCTGTAGGTGGGACGCATTTTCATATGAGTGGACTCGTTTTGACACAGGCAAAAGTCAACTCAAAAATGGCCTATTGTACCCTAGATGGCGAAATCATGCATTTCGTCAGCATAAATAGAGTGCTCTTATCCTTGTAATTCGATTTACATGTGCGATTTACGTCCAAGTTGAAGAGCGCAGAATAAACGTGTGAAGCCTAAGTTCTACGAGTGTCGTTATTTCCATTTGACGCAGATCTGTTCGATATCTTGGAACCCGTGAAAAGTTCATCAGTTTCCCGCAGCCTAGCAGGTTGCTCCAAGCTAAACTCCCCAGTCGAGTCAAGCGAAACAAGTTTCCAGGCCTCTCAGCGCCCGTTTCCCCATTTAGAGTTCAGAGCGACCGGTCGGGCAAAACCCCGTTGTCTGACACTATGACTTAAATGTCGTTCAAGATCCTTAAATTCGAACTGAGCGTAAAGTTGACGCAAAGCTGGTGTAAGGTTGGCACATAAGAGTAGTAATTTATATTAACGACTATAAAGTTTTATTTCAGTGTCTTTAAAGCAGCTATGACACAGATAACGCATCTTGAAAAGTTTAACCTAAATTTTTCAAGTTCGTCGTTTGTAATCCGCCGCGTTTATCTTCTCCTTGTTCCTTTATGAGTTATTATTATCTCTTTGGTGTTTTTCTATCTTAGTAACTACTTTTTTCAGGTTTCCTTAATTTAACTGATGTAATTTGGTGCGTCGCAAAAATAACTAGAAAAAACCCTCACTGAGCTCCTTTAAGAAAGCTGTAAACGTGAGCCTGTGAGCCTGTACCTAATGTAATGTTTTCAAGTTGTAGAGTTCATCACGCTAACGATTAGAGCGGCCCTGTACCTCCTACAAGGACAACTAATTACTACCTACAGATCATGGAAATAAGACGCACTCGATCTCAACTTGAGCGGATATGCAAGTTTGAAATCCAAATAGTTGCCTTTCCCTTTCCAAACTGCCTGTTTTCAGTTGCTATAGTGACATGGTCACTGACCTGTGTGTTAGGATGGTATGCAGCAAGCGCTTCCCTTATTTGGTGGACCTCAGAACACGTGATTCCTCCAACAATGTAAAGCACCAATAATGGATGGTCGTTAGGACGAGGCTTGCTCACATTCATAAATAAACTGAATCAAAGAACAAAACACAGTGGTCAATTCACGACATTTATAACACGTTTCCACTACTTGCGATTAGTACACGGCTCTAATATATGACCGCAGCTATAACCAGATATGGCTTGTATTTGCGTAAACATTTGAGAAGAACTACAATAACAATTAATTCCTTATAAACAAGATGTCCAATGCCAAGCCAGAGTGGAAAACATAACCTATTTCAGACAAAATGATTAAAATCTTTACCCCTTTTCAGACCAAAACAGCTAAAAGACCTGACCCTATATAGCCAATCTAAGGGAGTAGCCCCCGCCTGGAGCTTTCCCACTTTGGCCAGTGTTTACCTAAATCCCGTTTTGATGAAATCCTTCAGTCCGTGTGACTTGAACTCAATGTCTGGAAGCTCAGGTGATTCAGGGCTAAATATGCCATCTATGATCTGAAAAAGATAGGACTGATGAAAACAAATTTTAAGTACGCAATTAAATCATTGATAGCTTAACTAACATGAAAACTCTTTTTTACCTACATGTGGGTAAAAACGAGTGGTCTTTTAACCTGTTTACCAAGTGGTCTTGAAAACAAAAGCCTGTTTGACGAGTGGTGCAAAAACACAAACCTGTTTGACGAGTGGTGTAGAATACAAACCTGTTTGACGAGTGGTTGATACTGAGCTGGTTTTAATGCAGTCCCCGTCTGAAATACATGTCTGTTGACAAGAAAGAAGAAAATAACATTTAAGTACGACAAAGTCATTTGTGAGGAAACAAAGTGTAGAGGTTTTCATTCAGGAGTTTTCTTTTTAGTTGAGAATGAAGTCCTTGCAAATACCACTTGTCTCATTTGTCTCAACGAACCATGCGGGATGGTTTAAAAATGCTCATGTGGTCAGTGAAAAACAATTTTCACTGACTAAATACCACAGTCGTTATCAACAACACTCACTTATGCCATCAACACACACTTACTTCACTATTTTAGACATTTAATGTATATTCTAGACTTTTATCTTTTAGAGGACCCTCCTGAAAACCATCTCTAGGTGATTGGAGGCCCCCCCTTAAAATATTAGTTTATTATGTTTTATTTTTTTATTATTTATCAAAACATGCAATATTCCTAAATAAAACTGAATTCCAACATTTTGACAAAAAATTTACAACTTCCTGACCATGTATTAAACTCAGGCTTTGAAAAACGTTTTCCAAATGTTTTCCAGACCGGTGAAACATCTCTTGAAACCTTGCCTGCTTCCCCTAAATGTACCTGAACATTTGAAGTTCCTCTCTTGCCAAGCTAACTCCGCGCACTTTCTCAAACGCTTCAGAAATTCTGGTTCTTACAGTCTTCTCCGAAAGCTCCGATCCTAAGATACAGAAATAAAGATAATAATCAACTCTCAATGTCACACTTAAGCCGGGCATGTCCCTGAAAGGGCTGCAATATCATTCTCAGTGGCTGGCTATGGTTATGGGCAGATAGGTACAAGTTGGCATTCAAATACAGCTGTCTATATTTGGAGACTTGCCACAACTGCCGGCAATACCTACCATCCTATCTAGAGAGGGTAGCAATAGTCCAGGTCAATTCATGTCACAGATGCTGGGATAAGCTCCAGTGATGTGGGCCTCTTTGAGCAGAGAGCACACTCTACTTTGTGCTTACTGTGGTCTACTGTGTTCATATGATAAGGTTGTCACTGACCTATAAATGTGTCACTGCTGTATTTGAGTTCTCCGCTGAGTATGCTGTTCACCAAGATGTTCTGAGAGACACAAAATAAGAATAGCAGTACAAATGGTGAAGATTTATAACCCACTGGGGTTTGTGGATAAGGCCGGCCATTGCGCACCTTAGTCTGACTGAAAAGGGCTATGTTAGCATTAGCGGTAATACACTGTACCACCTTGTAGCTCCGATTGAAACCTTGGCTTGATTTCCACCGCTTACTCGAGTCTAGTCTATGTTCCACCCCAAGAAGAGTTTGAGAGAGGAGCGCTGGCTCCCTACCCGAACAGCAGCTGGTAATCAAGCCTAAGAGAAACCTTCTACATTTTTAAACACTGCGCAACTTTCTGGAACAATCTAGTTCCCAAAGGTGGCTCTCTGGAAAAGCCATACGACACCGTTAAACGAGCATCTTCAACACCTTAAACTCATGGCCAACAGCCTTAACAATACACACCTCCACCCAGCAGCGCCCAAAGCTCTACCTTTTTAAAATTGGCAAGACTTACAAACTTACTTTGATCTGCTCCTCTTCCATAGGTGAATCATAACATTCTTGTCCACCCGTCAATGAGTAAAGGAATACCAGGATTTGGAGAATATCCTCTACAGTCGCAAATCTACAAAGAAATAATACAAAAATGCACCACCCATATATTTGATTACAGCTAACACTTCAACTAAATTAAACAGTATGACAGCCAGTGCCTAAATGTACAAACAATGTACGTTTTGTAAACGTTATGCTATCTAGCAAGATCAGTACGGTCACTACCCCTGAGTGGTGTTTGGCTTGAGCTTTGAGAGACCTCAAACATTCACCGGCAGGGAAACCTTCTTGGATCTCTTCAGAATGGTGTGGCTAGTGAGCTCTCAGGCAGGTTGCTGTGCTATGTGACAGACAGGAGTGCTTTCAGACAAGGCCCCAGTTTCCATGAAAGTTATCCAAGCATAAACTAAGGAGATAAAGTGACGCCTGAGAGAGAAGGGTGGAAGAAACGAATGGAGCGTTGCAGTTAGAGACATATAGAAGCTAGTTGAATAAGTAGGTCAACAAATGACAGGTAAGAAACACACCTCTGTTCTTTATCAGACTGTAGGGCTGTTATCAGCTCTGATAAAACACTCTGTACACCATGCTCTCCAATGTGAAGAATTAAACCCTGAAAATTATAAGATGATAAAACAAATTCACTAACCTCAGTAAAGTAACTGCACTATAGAAAACTTACTAGCAATTCAAGGTTAGTTATTAGTTTGGGTTTGAACATAATTGAGAACTATGATAGCATAGCCCAGTTTAAGTTCAATTTGGCTCGTTGTTAGTGAAAGGAGTCCACGTCCTTCCCACAGAGGAGCAGAGACTGGACTCAAGAGAGCAGCAAAACTTGAGCCTGCCTAGGCAAAGGTACCAACAGAGATTCCCTTTCTGCTCGGAGAGAGACAGAAAGAGAAGGGAATCTCCCCAGTCTGTCTCACAGGGTAAGGCAAAGGTTATCATTTGTCTAGCAACAAAATCCAGGCCCTTACATGAAGTGAATAATGAAATTCTGCTAAAATACTCACTTTCTCTACAGCCTGTAAGTGCTCCACCTGTGATGTCTGTTCATTTTTTAACGCTGTTATTGCTGCTCTGACCAACTGTAGCAGTGCACCGTGTCTTTGAAGAGACTTTGGTTGACCCCTAACAGAGAAAGAAAATCACTCAAAATGTACAGCGAGAGGCTGAACCCAGAACACATAATAAATTAGTTTCCATACAATAACCATTACAAAGATATTCTTAACAATTAATAGACAGTGCAATGCAACATCTCTAACACATCTCACTCATCCACTAAACTCTCATATTGTGTCTGGACTGCCTGGACTGCATGGAAATTATGGTCTCCTATATATGTGGACATTTAGAAGTAGAGGGCTAGAAATCTGAAAACAAGGAAATATTTATTTGACTTGCAGTTTTGGCATACCTGAAATGTTCTGTCATAGTTTTGAGCTGTTCTGTTGTAATTTTACTGTGCACAGATTTGCTCTTTTGTACAAGTGATTCCTTTGCCAAAGCTTCTTGCAGCTGCCTTGAGAGGTCCACCAGACTTTCCTTGACAATGGAAAACATGAAATAATGTTCAATGTACTTTAATAGCCACCAGGAAAAACTATGATTTTTGAAAATACACACAGATTGTAGAAGTAGCCATGGATTGTACACACTGGTCACTGTTTTGAATGTGGTTACAGTAAGAACAAACTTGTCACATACCAATATAAAGAAGTTCTTCAATTTGTAACAAGTGAGCTATGCATGATCTATAGTCAATTTAAAATCTATTATGTTGATGTTGGATTAAACATTATTTTTGCTCTAGCTATTCAACTCTGTTCAGTACATGTGTGTCCAATAAAACAAAAAGTTATCTTTGTGTACCAGTCACCTTTTGTCTTTTAGTAATCAGAGAGCAGAGGAGAGCCTGTGTAGGAGGGTCTCTAGGATGTGCCAGGCAGCCAGGAGCTACAGTGTGTGGAGTTGAACTGGAAAACAGAAGAGACAAAGAATGTAAGCTCTCTATATGTGGAGTTTTCCTTAAGAGCAGACCTCCCAAGTCTCTTTGCCCCAATGGGGAATTCCCTGATCTTTCAAGAACAACATCCCCTGGTACTAGGGAAGACAGCCATACCTGCCATGAGAGCAGAGTGGAGACATGTCTATAGCCACATCATTGGTATGTTGTGGTAACCTTGGTAAGAGCTGAATGATCCTGTCAGCAAGTGTGTCAAATGTGTGTCCCGAGGGCCCAACCAGGTCAAGTGTTCTGTCAATCAGAATCAGAGATCCTCGACTGCTAGAGCTCTGAGATAATACATGAAATAAAGAAAACAAAGGTGTTAATTAGCAACAGACTTCATTTCATGTGGTTTGAGGAAGCACAGTGGTCTACTGGGAGTGGGACAGACTCTTGATAAAGAGATGAAAGCTCAACCCTTTGTGGGGTCACTGTGTCACCCATCTATTTGACAATGCTTCTGTCCACTCAGGTGTATAAATCTAATAAATTTAAAAGCAACCGAACAAAATATTGGGGGAACCTATTAGGAGCATATACTGTAGAAACCAGAGTGGATGCCAGTGAGACCTCAGGCCTCTCTAAATTAGTAAATTGAACTTTTGTTTTTAGGTCAGAATGATTTCAAACTAGTTTAATTTTTGTCAAAGAGGAAGGAGTCTGTCACCAATGACCTCTAAGACCAGCAAACAGGAGGAAATTTACAATGATTGCTTGCATGGACTACAAAGGTGGTCTACAAAGTCAGAGATCAGGTGTTTGTGGCTAGATGAGTACAAAATAAAAAAATCCGGGAGGGTTGACATGTTTATAGATCTGAGAGAAACATTTATTTGTAGTTTGATTTACCTTTCTTCTTGTTCTTGCTGCTGGTAAGTTTGCTAACTCTGTAGCGATAACTTTGCTGAGGTAACCGATGCCATAACAATCCTCACTGACTTCCAACAGTTCAAATAAACTGTTCATACCAAATGCAAACATCTGCAACATCATTTAATGATACCATGTCAGAGACAAAAATTATATATAATTATGTGAGTGACTTTTATTAGTTGCGTGAGACAATGCCACATGAATCAAACATAGGTACTGTAGTCAATTCAGGGTTTACTTGATAGCACTGTGACATGTTGACTGTAATTTTTCTGTGTTGTGACTGTGTTGTGACTGTGTTGCTTGTTCAAATTGGTAGTATCCATATATCAAACAAACATTTGTTTCAGATCATGGCATTGGATGACTAGGAGACAGAGAGAAAGAAAAATCAAGCTTATCATGAAAAACTTCAAACTGACAAAAATTAAGCCACAACATAGACCAACACAACGTTGTACCTTGATTTTAAGTTGTAAATTATGAGGAAGTGAAGACATCTCAAAATCGTCAAGGAAGTTGAATATTCTTTTGTCACCCTATTAAAAAAAAACAAAAAAAAAACAGCTAAATTAAAATCAGGACATTTGTTAAATAATAATACAAAAAAATCAGAAAATGCTTCATCCTAGTTTACTTTTCTTCAGTCACATTTTCAACAACTAATCTAACACGACACTAGTATTCTAAAGATCATACCATACTCCTGAGGAATTTTTGCAACCTAGGAACATCTGATGGTAGAAGAGGAAAGAGTGTTGAAAAAACTGGAGTGATGAAAAGTCCTGGACAAACCACAGCAGGGAACAAAGGCAGGTAATGAACATCCACAGTCGCATACTGTTTGCAAAAATGAATCATTTAACAAAGCATTTAAGCTCTTACGTACAGACATTCATAGACAGTGTTTGGAAAATCAAATATCTTCAGAAATTGTATTCACAATCTCTTAAGTTACTCCCATGACTTTCCCTAGTTAGCTGTCACTGCAGTTGAACACCACAATTTCGAACTCTCAGGGAAAACGAAAAATCGTTTGAAATAGGAGAATCTTTGTTTACAATATTTGCCTCGTTACCGTAAGCAATACAGTTTCTGATGGAGCTACAAAGAGATTAATACTGAATATTGGAAGGGCACAGCACAATTAACTGTCCCAAGGAATTTGAGGGCAATGCATTGAATACTTTTTGTGCGATGTGGGTTTAAAAGCTCAACATTTTACAAAGAATGTATGAGCTCATTAGCGCTTTTGCCACACAGAAATTTTGATGTTTTTGAAAGCCAATTTCTCCTTGAATATTACACCCAAAGAGCCAAAAATTTCACCACTTACTAAGTTTCACAAGCTCTTTAAGTTTTTCTAGTAAAATCATGTCTACCATGATGCCTTCTATGTGCAAAGTTGTATGTTAATGAGGAAAAATGTAAACAATGACGTCAGCAAAGATTCGCCTATAGTGCAAGTTCAAAATAGCTGAAAGTAGATGACTGAAGGGGGAATCCAAGGGAAATAGTTTTGAGTTTGAAACAACAGGGAATTCTAAATAACTGCGTTTGAATTAGTGGGTCCCAACTGTACATAGATAGAACAGTCCAACTGAGGAAACCTCTGAGGAAAATGAGTGAAGAAGGTCAGTGAGGAAAGCCTAAGAAATATGTAGCAGAGGTCAAATGCCTGATAAGAAAAGCAGTGAGATAGGGTCACAGTGAAATACTAACTAAAGCCCCGGGGATCAGAATGGGTGGAGATGGATTAGCCATAGATGCACTACAATCCAAGGGAGCAAAGGGTATTGATTATTCAGTTTTGTGTCCTAAAACAGCATCATGGCATAATTTTGAAAGTAAAAATAATATGATTTACACTCACCATGTTTCCCATCCACTCTCTAAGTTTCTGTGATATTTCCCCAAATGGTGAAACTTCTCCTATGTCTGAGTGTCTTGCAAAACTGTGGACAGATTCTGGCACAGTACAGAGAACTGTACAGTGTTGAAAATCACTTGATTCTACAATGGTGCGAATTAAGTCCAGAGTTTCACTTTGAAGGAGTGTGCCAACAATAAAGACAGCCTTTGTTTCTGATTCGTTTCCTCCCTGGGAATAAGAAGATAGTTATTCACACCATTCTGTATGTATATTAAGCATATTGGCCTTTTATGAAAGACAGATCTTTCAGATCGATGTGTACTACTTAGGCATCCACAGTTGAGTTTTGATTGATACCTTTGATCAACACTTGATCACCACTCGATCGACATCTCAATGGACATCTCGATCAACACTTGATCGACATCTCCATTGCTACTCGGTCAACACTCAATTGACATTGATCTTGGTCGAAGGTCGGTCGAGAGTCAACTAATTTTCCCAGACATGCCATCAAGTGTTGATTGACACATGTGAGTGGGCTGACACTCTGCCAACTATCAAACAACTGTCAATCGAGTGTCGATCAAGGGTCAACCAAGATGTTGATCAAATGTCAATCTAGTGTAGACCAAGTATCAATCAAGATGTCAATCAAGGGTCAAGTGTCAAGAATTCGGTGGAGTGTCGATCAAGGGTATTGATCAACACTTGACCGCAGATTCCTTTAGTACACATGATCCAATCTCTTTAGGTTACAGGTAGATAACCACTGTTATGGAACCACTGTTATCGAATGGGTGTACTACCAACTTATGTAATCTCTTTAGCTATGTGCCACTAGATGGTAAATTTTACTTTGTTAGAAAGCAGACATTTTGCATCTTTGTTATTTTTTTTCCTTGTACAAGAATTTCTTACACTCCCTAATTACCTGAAACAAGTTACCCAACCTCTATTTGCTCTGGTGGTCTTTGTTGGCTCACATGTTTTCATTTTAGTCTGAATTAGAAGGAAAATATTTTTCATTTGGACAAACTTGGTGAGGAAGAATGAAAAGGTACCTTCCAGGTCTGTGATGAGGTTCCCAGATATTGAAATAAATATCAGGAGAAATGCTATAAATTATCCTGGGGTGGGATATATGCACATGAACTGTACCCTGACATAGACCCCTTCATGCTTTAAGGGGCATTATGGGTAATCAGGGCAAGACTGTAAAGACACAAAGCGGCAAAAGATACGTTTTTCTTCATATTTCCATTCTGAGTTTCATTTTCAAGGGGAAACTTTTACTGTAAATAGAGAAACCCCTTTTCTATGGTTACTAGCATGTTTGATTTGATTGAGCTAGGCGTTAGCCTACTTATCAGAGTATCGGAGATGTTATTTTTGTGGCTTCAGCGGCTAAGACTTGATCAAATTACTCAGTTTTAATCGTAAAAAATTCCTGCCCCCACAACAGTCACTCCAACAGCTCAAAAACAATGGTAAACCTAGAAAAGGGGTTTCTCCATCTACAGTATATGTTTTATCTCCAACTGTAAAATCAGAAAGTAAATATAAAGAAAATGTATGTTTTACACCTTTGCTTCTTTGTAAATTTGCCCTGATTACCCATAATGCCCCTTAAAGCGTGAAGAGGTCTATTGATGGATATTGCAGTAATCGACTAATATATTAAAGCACAAAGTTGTCAACTGTGCTAAGAGCCTATTATTGGGTGCAACTCGTTTGGTAAGATCCGAATTAGAATCCATGATCCAGGGGCATTTGGATCATGGTGTATCAAAAAAAAACTAATAAATCGTTGTCCAGAGTGGATTCATCAGTTTCTTTGCATAGATGCACCATGATCCGAGAGACCATGATCCGGATCATCCCAAGGTGACGCTCCCAAAAACAACGAAAATACTCACAAATATAAAGAATGAAAGGCAAAAATACGTGAAATATTAGCTGATCTGTTTGAAAACCTTCTGAGAAATTGCATGTACCCAGTTTTATAAGACTGATCATCGACGCGTACTTCTGCTTTTCCTATGAAATGCTTGCTTTATTCTTGACAATTTCATTTAAAGATTAAAAGTTCCTTGCTAATGATCTTATATAAATCACATTAATTAGCTCTAATTAAAGCTTAACTCGCTTCATCAATAACACCTAAACAAACTCCTCTATCTCTCTGTTTAGTTCGCGTTAGTAAATTATTGACTCACTCTTTGGGACGCAATGTCGTAGACATTAAGAGCTCCTGCATCAATCAAATCTTGAAGACTACCACACCAATGCATCCATTCAGCCGTTCTACTGTCAAGATAGACCAAGGCATTGTTGACAACCGTCAAAAGTTTCTGCCAGATTGCAGTGATTCCACGTTCTAGAATGCCTTTGGCCGCCATGTTTACATCATTTGTTACCCAGTCCCTCCCGTGGCACCAAACCACAGAATATTCGTTCTCAGTCTTCCTCGGTCTTTACCTGCATCGCGCCGTTGTTAGCCGCCGCAGAAGTTTTTGTACTGTATACGTTTACAATACCGTTTTCTTCCCATAAAGAAACCGTATTTTATGTTAATAATTTCAAGAAGGAGATGGTATGAGGAAAGGTCCCATTATCTACCAAAAATTATTTTCGCAAGTATAACTATTTTTCTGAGCGATTGTTTTTCAGCTTCCAACTAGCGTACGAAGCTTGGCGGTTTGAGCAATTTTTTAAGCAATTTGGGCGCGAGCGCACAAAGCGGCGAAGCCGCGAAAACGAGCAAACGAGTGTCTTAGTTGTCTCTCTCCCAGGCTCCCTTTCTTAGCGCACTCAAATTGCTTAAAAACCGCCAAGCTACGCAGGCTAGCTTACAACAGTTAGCTGAAGGTTGTCAAGAGGAAGATTGGAGGACAATTACAACGCCCCCTGAGTGTTAAGTCAGAATTTTTTCTTCATTTTTCAGAAATTGAATGATTAGCACTTCAGGCAATTCACTAACAAGAAAATGGGAGCTTATTTTCTTCTACCAACTATGCAACCTCGTTCCCAGGGTCTCTCATCTTGAGAGACCCAGGGAAAGAGATTGCCAACTATGAAAGGAGTGCGAGCACTTGTTTTTTGCTCTTCCAACTCATCATACATTACTTGGGAAAGGGCTCTATCCCCCTTTGTGTCGTTACACTGACTACGTGACTATCGTGGATGTTTTAGTTATTAGTCATAGTATTTTCTGATTCTGCTATAGGTATAGCTGGTATAGACTGATTGGTATGTAAGTAGCTTGTTGCCTCAGAGTGAAGAACTGTATTGTATTTGTTTTCCAATCTTTCCCGCGCGCGGTACATTTTGACAACACTTCCGCCCTGTACAAAGAACGATACTACTATGAAAACAAATCGTTTATTAACACAACAAACTAGACTTATAAAAGTCACATTTTCGAGAACGTCAGTTTCAAGAACGTCACAAAATCGCCCCCAAAAAAACGCAAATTCGAACACTTAGTTCAATTAAATACAGTCTCGAAAAGCAATGAATGTTCCGCACAGGTTTTTAAAAACGTCAGTTTAAATGTCATTACACAATAATTTGTTGCTCCGATGTGACTTCAGTGTTTCTCACTGCAGATCTCCATGCTTCGCACTGTGATCTGTTCACTCGACGGCCTGCATTATCTTTCTGGATGTAGACAACATCTACGGAATTATCAAACCTGATCGCCTTGCCTTTCTTGGAATAAACTGAAGGAACTTTAGCAACAGTGTTCTCCAACTCGTTTTCAATGTGAAACAGATCTCCGTTTTTGAATCCGTACACCTTGTGCCATTTCTGATTGATTCTTTTCAACTCTTCAGGGTTAATTCTCGCCGGTCGTTTGGTGAGCCTTTCTTTCCTTTTCTCGCGATTTTTCTCGCGCCTTCTCTTCCATAATTCACAATCGCCCCGTGTATCGTTATCTGATTTGCTACACCACAGAGGTCTCGTGTTGAAATTAACTTGCGTAACCCGACGTTGAGCAGCTGACTGGTTTCTTCTTTGCGTGATTCTTTGGACATAAAGAGGTGTCATATAAGATGATGACAGTTCTTCGCGGGTTCCAGTCTTCCTTGTAGACCTCATCTTTGGCCACAGAGAACTTTTTGTACTCACTACTATCAGTGACAATGCCAATAGACTTCCACATATGGTAAATAACGAAGGCAACAGAAGATCTGAAACAAAGCCCAAGAAGACGCCTATCAGGCATTTCATAGTAAGAGTATAGCTATAACAAATAATTTTTAAGGAACCCCAGTGCTAAAAGTAGAGACAGAAGCGCTAAACCTGACACAAATTGAATACTGAGACGAAACTGAGAGGAATAACGAATTCCCAACGTTTTTTTTTTTTTCCTATTACCAAAGTTAGTTTCTACCCAATGAAGAACAGTTGTTAAAGTTTTTATTTGGCGACGTGGAAGAAAAGACTGGATAGGAGGGAAAGAACAATGGACATTAACATTGGATACTTGCAAAATCACCTAGTGTCATGAGTGCAAGATTAAATAAACAAAATTTTAATACAAAAAATAAATAGGAAAAGTTCAAATTAAATGGAATAAAATTCAACACATGTGGTCAGAGATGGTGGCCTTAAACTTTGCGGAGGAGTCTATTCAACGAGTAATCAGATGGAAGACTGTTCCAGGAGTCAACGATACCGTTCTTGGCCAGAAACTATACTTATAGGTGTCACAGAATGTCTGGAGCGGGAAGAACTCAGTTCAATAAATGAGATGATCTAGGTTTCAGAGAAGACTGGTGTTGTGCATAACTTCCAAGCTAGATATCGATTAATAGCGGCCTGGTTATTAAGGCCATTATACAGAAATGTAAGTCTAGCTACTTGTTTCGTTTTCTCCAGTGTTGGCTAATTTAGTTGCTTCAGAGCCGGCGTTAGTAACAGCCTTATTTTCTCGTATAAGTTCTTGTTAATTACAAAGCGCGCTGCTCTTCGTTATCGACTGAACGAGCCAGTTGTTCGACTGTGTGAATAAGTTGTATTTCACATGAAACGATGATGAAAATTAACTAGGCTTCTGTAAAGGACGTTCATGTGAAACGGAAATAAAACTGAACTGGACGATTAAGGAAAAACAGGAAGGTGTAGGTAAAAAGGGAGGAGCCTTTAAAGGCCAGCGAGGTAGACTACTAACTTGAACAAGTATCCCTCTTTCCTTCCACAGTACAGCCATATTTTACTTCGCTTACTTACCATTACGTATTTCCAAGCGGGTAAAATACCAGGTGTTGCTCTCCAGAAGGTTTCTGGACTTGGTGACCCACTGACCAGTGGGATTTGCTGACGCTAACAAAAGGAAGATCACAATAATTGTGCCCTTCATTGGACTTGACCTGGTATGAAAAGGAAGCGAAAAATCAAACAAATATTGCAGCTT